ATTGTTTAATAACATGATATTTAGCCTCCATGTGTTTAAATGTCTTTGCATGTTCTTGTTGCAATTGATTTCTAGTTTCATGCCATTTTGATCTGAGAAGATGCTTGATATGATTTCATTCCTCTTGAACTTGTAGAGATTTAGTTTGTGTCCTATCATGTGGTCTATCTTTGAGAATGTCCCATGTGCACTTGAGGAGAATGTGTATTCTGTAGTTTTGGGGTGTAATTCTATGTAGATATCTATTAAATCCATTTGGTCTAATGCTTCATTTAGAGTCTCTGTTACCTTGCTAATTTTTTGTCTAGAGGATCTATTCAATGCTGTCAATGGGGTGTTGAAGTCCCCTGCTATGATTGTATTGTTGTCGATTTCTCCTTGAAAGTCCTCCAGAAGATTTTTAATATATTTTGGTGCTCCTATATTGGGTGCATATATGTTTATCAAGGTTATATCTTCCTGTTGGGTAGATCCTTTCAATATTATGTAGTGGCCTTCTTTGTCTCTAGTTATGGCCTTCATTTTGAAATGTATTTTAGCAGATATGAGTATTGCTACCCCAGCTTTTTTTTGATTTCCGTTTGCTTGGAAAATTTTTTTCCATCCCTTCACTTTCAACCTACGTGAGTCTTTTGTTGTGAGGTGGGTCTCTTGTAAACAACACATAGATGAGTCATGCTTTCTTATCCAATCAGCTGCTCTGAGTCTTTTTATGGGAGCATTCAATCCATTTACATTTAAGGTGATTATTGATATGTACTTATTTATTGCCATTTTTGTTTAGTGTGGTTCTATTTTTCTTCCCATTTCTCCTGATAATTACAGCAGTCTCTCTAACATTTCTTGGAGTGCTGGTTTGGTGGTAATGTATTCCCTTAGCCTTTTTTTGTCTGGGAAGCTCTTTATTTCACCTTCTGTTTTGAATAATAGCCTTGCAGGGTAGAGTAGTTTTGGATTCAAATCCTTGTTTTTCATGACCATGATTACTTCATGTCATTCCCTTCTGGCCTGTAGTGTTACTTGTAAGAAGTCAGCTGTGAGCCTTATGGGGTTTCCTTTGTAGGTAACCTGTTGCTTATCTCTTGCTGCCTTTAGGATTCTCTCTTTGTCTTTAATTTTGGCATTTTAATTACTATGTGTCTTGGTGTAGGCCTGTTTGGGTTCTTCTTATGTGGGACTCTGTGCTTCCTGAACTTGAATGCCTTCTTCCTTCACCAAATTAGGAAAGTTTCCTGTCTCAATTTTTTTGAATATATTCTCTAATCCTTGCTCATTTTCTTCTTTCTTCGGGGACTCCTATGATGCGAATATCATTACGTTTTCAGTTGTCCCACAGTTTTCTTAAGCTGTCTTCCTGTTTTTTAATCGTTTTTTCCTTTTGGTTTTCTGATTGGTTGATTTCTTCTACCCTGTGTTCCAATTCACTGATCCGGTCCTCAGCTTCCTCTGCTCTGCTGTTTAAACCTTCCAATGTGTTTTTCATTTCTGATATGTCATTTTTTATCTCTTATTCATGGTTATTAATTTGGAATTGGCTTATTTTCAGCATCTCTATGTCCTTACTCATGCTGTTGAGCTTCCTCAAGATCATGGCTCTGAATTCTAGCTCTGTTAACACGCCTAACTGCTCCACATTGATCTCATCTTCGGTGGAGGTCTCTTGCTCTTTCATTTGGATTTTGTTTCTGTGTTTCACCATTTTGACTATCACAGTGGGCTTTGGAGCCTGTCAAGTTTTCCCTGTGGGATTTGCTGTTCTCCTGTTTGTGACTACCTCTCCTGGGTTTAGATGAGCGAGGGAGGACCCACGTTAAACACCACTGTCAAGTCTTACTTTTCTGGTTAAAGTTGCTAGCCCAGGAAAGGTACTGTTATCCTCTAGTTTTTTGCCTGGAGGCTAGCAGTGGAGGTTACTTGATGAGTTATGGGTTGCCAGTTGATTAAAAAATTCCCTCAGGTGCTCAGTATAAGGGGATTTCCCAAGGGTGGGGCAGATACTAGTTGTTAATGAGCCTCAATTTGCATTTCAATGGCCCACTGTGTGGGGTTGGATCTCCGAGGGATGGGCTGCTGCCTCTCCCCAGAGCCCTGGGCAGGAGCAATATGGCCATTGTCCTGCGTGGCAGCAACTCAGCAAAAGCTTGAGTGCCCTCTAAATCCGGAGGGTTCCAACAAAGTTCCAGTCCAGTCTGCCCTCCCTCTGCCGGAGCCCAAGGTGAGTGGTCGTGGCTTTTTTAGCCTCTGTTCTGGCTCTGCGCTGTGGAGCCACTCGGGAGTGTAACCTGAGGGCACTGCTCCCAGCTAAGGCTGCTGCCAAACTGCTGAACGTGAGCTCTCAGCCCCCATCTCGCGCCTTCACAAGCCTACCAGGATTAAGTCAGTGTCCCTGGTTATATGGTCCTTGCAAGCTGCTTTTCTGTTGATTCTTCCTGTCAATTTGTCTGTGTTATAGTTGTAATTCCAGTTTGGTCCTGGGAGACAGTCTGTGTAGCTTCCATTCACTCCGCCACCATTTTGAAATCTCCCCTTGACCTTCTATTTTGAATGATAGCCTTGCTGGGTAGAGTAGTCTTGGATTCAGATCCTTGTTTTTCATGAGCTTGATTACTTCATGCCATTCACTTCTGGCCTGTAGTGTTTCTATTCAGAATTCATCTGAGAGCCTTGTGGGGGTTCCTTTCTAGGTAACCTGTTGCTTATCTCTTGCTGCCTTTAGGATTCTCTCTTTGCCGTTAATTTTTGGCATTTTAATTACTATGTGTCTTGGTGTGGGCCTGTTTGGGTTCTACTTACTTGGGGCTCTCTGTGCTTCTTGAACTTGAATGCCTTCTTCCTTCACCAAATTAGGGAAGTTTCCTGTCTCAATTTTTTTGAATATATTCTCTAATCCTTGCTCATTTTCTTCTTCGGGGACTACTATGATGCGAATATTATTATGTTTCCAGTTGTCCCACAGTTCTCTTAAGCTGTCTTCCTGTTTTTTCATTGTTTTACTCATTGCTTGATTTTATTCTACCATCTTCTAATTCACTGATCCGGTCCTCAGCTTTCTCTACTCTGCTGTTTAGACCTTCCAATGTGTTCTTTATTTTTGATAGGTCATTCTTCAATTCTTCTTTGTGGTTTTTAATTTCCAATTGGTTGATTTTCAACTTTTCTATGTCTTTACTCATGGTGTTGATGTCCTTACTCATGCCGTTGAGCTTCCTCAAGATCATGGCTCTGAATTCTATCTGTTAACTTGCTTAACTGCTCCACATTTATCTCATCTTTGGTAGAGGTCTCTTGCTCTTTCATTTGGCTTCTGTTTCTTTGTTTCACCATTTTAGTTATCATAGTGGGCTTTGGAGCCTGCCACATTTTCCCTGTAGGTGTTGGTGTTCTCCTGTTTGTGACTCCTTTTCCTGGGTTTGGATGAGTGAGGGAGGACTCACATTAAATACCACTGTCAAGTCTTACTTTCCTGGTTAGAGTTGCTAGCTCAGAAAAGGTTCAGTTATCCTCTAGCTTTTTGCCTGGAGGCTATTAGTCTTGGTTACTTAAAGATCCTTGGGTTCTCAGTTGAATGAAAAACTCTCTCAGGTGATCAGAGCAAGTGGATTTCCCAAGGGTGGGGCAGATGCTGGTTGTTAATAAGCCTCAATTTGCATTTCAATGGCCCACTTGGGTAGGGCTGAATCTCTGAAGGAGGGACAGCAGCCTCTCCCAAGAGCCCTGTGATAGAGTAAGATGGCCACCATCCTGCGTGGCAGCAACTCAGCAAAAGCTCTGAATGCCCTCGAAATCCTGAGCGTCCCCACACAGTTCCAGTCTAGTCTGCCCACCCTCTGCCGGAGCCCAGGGTGAGTGGCTGTGGCTATTTTAGCGTATGTCCCAGCTCTGGGCTGTGGAGCCGCTAGGGAGTTTAACCCGAGGGTGCTTCTCATAGCTAAGGCCGTTGCTGTCTGTGGGCTCCCAGCCCCACTCTTGTGCCTCCTCAATCCTACCAAGGTCAAGTCAGTGTCCTTGGTTATATGATCATCGCAAGCTGCTTTTCTGTTGCTTTTTCCCAATGATTTGTCTTTATTTTAGTTGTGATTGCAGTTTGGTCTTGGGAGATGGTCTGTGTAACTTCCATTCACTGTGCCGCCATTTTTCAATCTCCCTGCCTTTACTTTTGTATATATTGAAGAATTGTATAATAAAGCTCAAAATATCTGTATCTCTCTGTATTGAATATTTTGGATACATACACACAAACCATTTTACAAACACCTCAATGAAATTAAGTTTAAAGTATTTATGCACCACACTATTTGCATACAGAAGTCCTAAAATATTCTATATACATTGAAAAACAAGTACACATACTGCAATGATAAAGCATATTATTTTATAACATAGAGCTGCTAAGCCATGCACAAAAGCAGTAATCTCATAAAGAAAATCAAAAATAGTATACACAAATCACAGAATAAGATATTGAAAAGTATTCCTCTTCAATAATGATACCAGGGCTCTAAACACACTAGTTTTACTATATAGATACAGACGTAACAGTAAAAAGATAAAGAAATAACTCTGATTTCCTCGGTAAATTCCTTTTACAAAATAGCTGAAAAACCAAAACCACAAAGTGTATCAAAATTATACAGCCCCTTCCTTTTATAACTCAACACTTTACTTTTTAAATATACAGGGGTGGACAAAAGTAGATTTGCAGTTGTGAGTATGAAAAACAGAGTTTATTCATGTATTATTATTTATTAAGTATTGTATTATTTGTATTGTAACTGTAAATCTACTTTTGCTCACCCCAGTATAAGCAGAAGAATTTACTGATGATAACAGTAAATCTATAATGGAACTGATAGAACAATGCTGATTAAAAATGGTTTTTACTATCAAGTCTATTATTTATAGGTTAACAAACATAATAAAAACCAAGAAAAATGGATAAATTTTACTTTCAAAGGGATAAATTTTTTTCAAATAGAAAAACACCAAAGCATTATACTTACCAGTATTTTTGTGACCTTTTAGTATATAAAGTGGTGCTGGACTTTCCAGTGAGAAAATGCAAATATTGTGGTCATTTCCTCCAGTAGCAATTAGTCCATGAGGATATACGTCACTAGAAGGTATGATGCATACACAAGATACAAAATTGGAGTGGCCACTCATACAGTGCATTTCTGTGAATCCTCTGTTAGGACTGGAAAGACATAATAAGTAAAATATAGATTGGTTTTCTAACTTAGCCTAGGGCACAGTTGTCAAAGTACTTATTTTCATTTAGTGTCCAGGTTGAACTTCATAGAGAGTACACACTATTTCAAGTATCTATTGTTTTAAATTAAATATTAAATAGCTAATTTAGATGAGCTACTAAAGGTTTACATCAGATTAGGAAAAGTTTACTAAGGTTTTCATTGATAACAATATGTTAATTAAAAGGAAGAAAGAGGACAGAAGAGGAGGAAACAAGTATTTTAAGTGGTTTTTCCTCATCCTGCATCTTCATTTCTACTTCAGTAATTGTTACATAGTGAGGACATTTTTACACTATGAAACATTAACTTAGTACCTATTAATATAGTATCTGTATGTAAAAAGAATATCATTCTCAATATGCAAACTAAAAACTAAAACAGCAATGTATAAATGATTGCTCTAGGGACACAGCACATCAACTCCCTGGGGATTAGAATGATTACCAATTTGTTACACACTAACATCACTGCCTTACAAAAGAAGTCAAACAACAGATTATGATATACTACGTGAAATGTGGTTAGTTGCTGAGAGGGATATAAAGAATTATATACCCGACTCCAGCTAATCCAAGGAGTTTGCGTCTAGTTGAAAGAGATGAGACAAGTACACACAAAGAGATTCAGACTCTTGGGTAAAGACTGAACACACTCATCTATTTTGACTTCCTTCCCAAACACCATTAAGACAATGCTGCTGCCCTGGCCAGTTTGGCTCAGCGGTTAGAGCGTCGGCCTGCGGTCCGGAGAGACCCGGGTTCGGTTCCCGCTAAGGGCACGTACTTCGGTTGCAGTTTGTCCCCGGCCCTGGTTGGTCGTGCGGGTAGCAGCCACTCGATGTGTCCCTTCACGTTGATGTTTCTCACTCTCTCTCCCTTCCTCTCTTGCCCTCCCATTCTATCTGTACAAAAAAATGGAAAAATATCCTCGGGTGAGGATAAAAAAAAAAAAAGACAATGCTGCTAATTCTGAGCCTTCAGGGGAATTGTTGATAAACTGGTTCTCTACTTTCCCTGCCACCTATTTGGAATTAATTTTTCTCATGTCTCTTAAGACCTTTACTACTCTTCTATCAGCTTCGGTACTGAAAGTTATAATCCTGTTTTTTCTCCTTCTTCCTAGCTTTGTTGGTTTATCCCCTTCTTAAAATACAAACATGTACACATAGACACATAGGTATATGTATGTATGTATCTATTTATGTAGGCAGCAAGGAAAGTAGAGAACAAATCTACTAATAAATCCGCCAAAGGCTCAAGAATTAGCGGCACTATGTATGTACCTCTAAAAATGGGGACAAGAAAAAGTAGAAACTAAAATAAGGAAGACTAGTTGAAAGTCTTCAGAATCAGTCAGAAGCTGAATCATTTGAAAAAAATCTTCAAAGGAAGGTACTTGGTAGTAGCTATTTTTAATTTAGGTATATGTATGTATGTATCTATTTATGTAGGCAGCAAGGAAAGTAGAGAACAAATCTACTAATAAATCCGCCAAAGGCTCAAGAATTAGCGGCACTATGTATGTACCTCTAAAAATGGGGACAAGAAAAAGTAGAAACTAAAATAAGGAAGACTAGTTGAAAGTCTTCAGAATCAGTCAGAAGCTGAATCATTTGAAAAAAATCTTCAAAGGAAGGTACTTGGTAGTAGCTATTTTTAATTTGTCCATTTTATTTTGGTGGGTTTTTAAAAATGTGTTTTCAGAAACCACTTTATCAATAAGCCCAAAGAAATGTAAAAGATAGACCATGATAAAAAAAAAAAAAAAAAAAAGCTGTATTATATAAACCACTAAATCTACCTATGTGTGTCCCTTAGCACCTCCTGGTATACATATTTGCATGCATCTTTTATATTGATCTGTGAAGTTCTTAATGGCAGAATTCAGACCTTGTTCTTCTGTTTATTTTCTCAAGTTCCCAACACACTACATGGTAAGGATTAAGTATTTCTTGAATCAATAAAAAATATTTAAAGTATTAAGAAAAAATTAAAGCAGTTAGCACCCCAGACAGACAACTGCCCCTTGTGCACCCAGCAAATGTCTGGAGCTTATTCTTCGGATAGGTGAAAGTCTTGTGGGGACACAAAGCAGAGCCAAGTCCTGGGGTATGAAGAACATGTACATTCATAATGGAGGCCAAGACCACCAAAGACAAAACCCTGAGACCAGGCAGGCAGATCAGCCTAATAAAATGATACAGCCAGATAACCCTACAATTAAGTTTCCAGTCAGCAAGCCCCACCCAAGAGTAGTGAGTGCTTCCTGGGAGTTTACTTCTCCACCCTTAACAATGAGCACAGAATAAGGATTATCAGACATCTGGGGAGAGGATCCTCCAGCGGGATATGTATAGTGACCTAAAGAAACAGGGAGGGGGAAAATACAATTTGGAGGAAACAGACTACTAAAGGAGAAACTTAATAAAAAAATAAATAAAAAAAAAATCAGCCCTGGCCAGTGTGGCTCAGTTGGTTAGAACATGTGCAATTGAAGGGTCATGAGTTTGAGTCCCAGTCACGGTACATATCCAGGTTGGGGGTTTGGTCCACATTTGGGGTGCATATGGGAGGCAATTGATCAATGTTTCTCTCTCTCTTTCTCTTCCCCTCTCCTTTCCTCTCTCTCTAAAGCCAATAAAAACATATCCTTGGGTGAGGAGCAAAAAAAAAAGAAAAAAAGAATAGAAAAACATCGCCCTGGCCAGTTTGGCTCAGCGATTAGAGTGTCAGCCCAAGGGTTCAGTTCCCACTAAGGGCACATACCTCCTCAGTTACAGTTTGTCCCTGGCCACGGTTCAGGTCATGTGGGTGGCAACCAGTCGATGTTTCTCTCTCACATAGATGTTTCTCTCTGTCTCTTCCCCCCTCTCTCCCTCCTGCTCTATCTGAAGATAAATGCAAAAATGTCCTCAGGTGAGGATAAAAAATAAAGAAAGAAAAACATCATTACCATTCTTAGAGATATAAGATAATGCAGCCACGAAATAAGAATATAATTTCACAAGAAGTCAAGGCAATTTCTGAGAAAGTATAGCAAATGAGAGAATGAGAGAATTAAAAAAGAAACAAGATCAACATGTGAATAAAAAGTTCCAGAGAAAATGAAGATGACGAAACCAAATAATTAAGAAAATGTCCCAGAACTTATGGGTATAAGTTTTCATATTAAAAGGGTCCACTAAGAGCCCTGAACAATGGATGAATATACTGACAGCCTTTTAGTTAGAACAAAATACGTCAAGAATCAGAATGGCTTTAGTCTTTTCAACTGTAACACTAAAGGCTAGAATACAATGGGGCAATGGCTTCAAAATTCTGGAGGATCATTATTTGGAAATTAGAATGCTAAAAACATTTAAATTGTATTCAAGTAGCAAGGTAGAATAAAACCCATTTGGACTTGCAAGGTCTTGATACATTATTATCAATGCCCTGTATTTTAGGAAGCTTCTGGAGGATGTGCTCCAATAAGGCATCAAGGCAGAAAACCAAGAAAGAGAAAATAAAAGGGTACTGAGAACAGAAATCCAACACAAGAGATCCAAAAGGGAATCGAGGAGATGACAATAAAGGGTGATCCCAGTATAAGTTATGTACCAGGAGCAGACAAACTAGGTCAGCAAGTTTTCACTTAAAAAAAAGATGAAACTGTAAACTATTCAATACGTCTAAAAGTCTTGAGAGGACAGAGAGACAACTAGCATTTAAAGCTGAATTTGTGATAAATACATATAAAATTAAGCAAGTGAAAATCAAAAACAGGACAATTAGCAGCTACAGGGAGATCATAAAATCGTTGAAGAAAAGTTATCGTAGTTGATTACACAGCTTAGGTGCAGGCAGATTGTACAATTACAAAATATTGATTAAGTTTAACATTAATTTAAGGGCATAGAAAGGGTGCGTAGTGTGACGGGCATTGGTAAAGTGTAGAAAGAGAGCTAAATTCTCATATTCCACAATAAGAACTATAAAAAATATCTAAAATAAAATATTTAAAAAATAAAAAGAAATAGCAATACAGCTATAATGTTTCAGTCAACAATGGACTACATATATGATGGTGGTCCCATAAGATTACAATAGAGCTGAAAAATTTCTATCAGCTAATGATGTCATAGCAGTGGTCAACTCTCCACACAACATATTACATATCTGTGGTGACACTGGTATAAACAAACCTACTGTGCTGCCAATGGTATAAAAGTACTGTATAGCACATATAATTATGTACTCGATAATGACAATAAAAGACCATGTAACTGGTTTATGTACTTATCATACTATGCTTTTCACGGTTAGAGTGTACTCTTTCTACTTACAAAAATAAGTTTCCTGTAAAACAGTATCCTGTGTTACACTGCAGGAGCCTCACAGAGCTCCCTCCTGTTTACCGCGTCTCTGGATTTTCACCATTTTCTCTGGTGCGTGATTTAATCTCATGTTGTTTTATACAGTAACATGTTGTATAGGCTTGTATCCTAGAAGCATATAGCCTAGATGTATAGTTGGCTATATCATTTAGGTTGAACTCTGAGGTTGACACCACAACATAACCACCTATGGACACTGTTCTCAGAACTAACCCCCTAGTTAAGCATGACTGTATATCATTTTATAATATATAGATGTGGAAATAATAAAAAATACGCAGTTGTCATAAAAACTTTGTCTCCAAGAAAGGGAAATGGGGAGTGGGAATGAACTGGCTGATTTCTTAGCAAACCCCACAGAACTATTTGACTAAGGACCCAAAGTACTAAGTGGACCTTGGCATGGTAAGGGAAGATTTAATGCTCAATGTAAAATCTGGTTTTACATCTTTCGAATATGGGTAGTTCTCAAAGACAAAGCAATAGTTGGCGATAGACTTGAGAAATCCAGTTTAATCTGAAGTGGGCTGATTTATATAGGCCTGAAGCACTCTCAAAGAATGGCATGCTGACTGGTTCAGTTTAATGTACCCCCCCCCGCCCCCCGCCAAAAAGAAAAAGAAAACTGTCTCCTTTCTAAAGGACCTTCAGAAGGTCCAGAGACTTTTTGGGTTCTCAATGGGCTTTTGTGAAAGACAGGTATCTGATTTAGTCCACCCTAGAACTATTTTGCCTCCCTGAAATTAAATTCCCTCATCATTCCCAGTGCATCCCTACACTAACTACCCTGGATTCAGAACCCTATAGAAAACAATTTTCATTTAGTATTTGGCTCCAAACATTTCACAGCACTTCATTACTGTATTAATATACAATGAAATAGATATTGTCATGTCAGGATATCGGCCTTGAGGACACTTTTGTAACACTAAAAGTATGGCTGAAACACTCTTTTCAACCATAAGAGGTTCATTACCCAGTGACTATGAGATACCCTACTCTAAGCAACTGGAAATGAGACGTAAAACTATCTTACTTCTCTAATCTGGCACAGTGCAGGCTCTCAATCAGTATTAGGTGAAAAAAATACATGGATGAATTTTTAAAAAGACAACCAAAAAAAAAAAAACCCACAAAAAAAACGAGTTCAATGAAGAGAACTAGTTTTCAAGTAGAGGATCATTTCAGCTCACAGTTCCTCAGGTTCCTGGTAAATGCAACCACTCCAGTAATTTAAGTTTTGTCAACCTAGCACACTCATAGACAACATGTAAAAGTCTAATGACAGGATTCAATTATGACAAATGGCATCTGCTTTAGATACGCCTTACTACAATGTGTGTATCCTACTGGCAATATGCTTCTACTGAACTCGATTTTAAATGTACATGCTTAATCAGTAATTGCATTCAAATACACAGAAAGTTATGTATTACTGTTACTAAGTGGTTTGGAATATCACAAAACCTTTGAAGAGAACCTTCACAAATTATCTCACCCAATTCAATACAGGAATTTGCTTGAAAATATCCCTCATCTAGTCTGTCACGTCTTGGCTACACTACTGCAAAAAGCCTCCAAACAGATCTACTCCCGTATTTACCCCTTTGCAATCCTCTCTCCACCAGCAGCTAGCAGAAACTTCTAATGAGCTAAATCAAATCATGCTGCTCCTTGCTTGAAACCCTTTACAGCAGTGGTTCTCAACTTGTGGGTCGTGATCCCTTTGGGGGTCGAACGACCCTTTCACAAGGGTCGCCTAAGACATGACAGTAGCAAAATTACAGTTATGAAGTAGCAACAAAAATAATTTTATGGTTGGGCGTTGGGGGTCACCACAACATGAGGAACTGTATTAAAGGGTCACAGCATTAGGAAGGTTGAGAACCACTGATTTAAAGGCTTCTAACTACTACATCCTTTCCTCAGCCCTCAAAGACTTGCCCCACTTCACAGCTCTTTCCCTCCTGCACAAAGGGGCTTTCTTCTTTCCCAATCCAGGGCCTGTGTTTGTTCCTCCTACCACCTACTCTTCCAATTCAACCTTCCTCATTCCTTGCTCCCATGACCAGCACCATCTCAGTGTCAGACTGAAAAAAAGAAAGAAAGAAAACACCTCCTCATAGAGGCTTCCTTCTTTAATATCTCTCTCCACTCAACTCTATATCGACATTGTTTTCATGATAGTATTCGTGTCAAGTATGTAATTACTTTTTATTGTTTTTTTAATCCACCTTCCCTCCCACACTACAAGCAAGTTCTAGAAACATAGACAACTTGTCTGTGCTCTACTTATTCCAGATCCCAAACAAATACGAGGCACTCAATCAATAGTTATCATCTGAATTTATGGATGGTAACACAAATTCTATGTGAAACCTCTAATGATGGGAGGCGAACAAAGTACCTCATCTCTATTTCTCTTTCTAAACTCAAATCTGTTTAACAGGTCCTAAATTTCCTGTTACAACCAGCCAAATCAGGATTGAACTCTTGAACTTGATTTAGACTGCAGCTTAACCTTTTGTGCTTTTGTTTGTTTGTTAGAAGACAATGGACTTTCTCTCCTCTAGAAAACAGCACACTCTTCACAACTATAGACCCACTTTTGCTCCACCATGTATTTCTAAAAATCATGAGCTCATAGTGCTTTTTTGATTCAGATTTTTTAAAATTATGGTAAAAAACCAATAACAAAATTTACAGTCTTAACCATTTTTATTTGTACAGTTCTGTCAAGTATACTCACACTGTTGTGCAATCAATTTCCAGAAATTTCTCATCCTGCAAACCTGAAACTCTGTACCTGTTAAATAACACCACCTCATCCCTCCTCCACTCCCAGCCCTTCACAACCACCATTGTTTTTCTGTTTCCATGAATTTACCTACTCTAGGTACTTCGTGTCAGTGGAATCATACAGTATTTGTCTTTTTGTGACTGGCTTTTTTACTTAACATAATGTCTTCAAGTTTCATCCCTGTTGTAGCACACATCTGAATTTCCTTCCTTTTTGAGGCTGACCAATAGTCCATTGTACCAACGTACTTCATTTTATTTAACCATTAATCAGCTGATGGACATTTGGATTGCTTTCACCTCTTGGCTATTGTGAATAATGCTATGATGAACAAGGGTGTACATATATCTATTCAAGGCCCTGCTTTTAATTCTTTTGAGTATACAGAAGTGGAATTACTGGATTATATGGTGATTCTTTTTTCTTTTCTTTTTTTTTTTTAAAGAAAACAGCATATTCTTCACACATTCATAAAACATTTGAGAGGTTTCATTCCCTCCATCTAAGCCCATCACAGGTCCAGACAAAGAAACTCTGACTTGGACAACGAGAGAGGAGGCAAAGCAACTTTCTGCAATGCAATTTTTGGGAACTAAGGTTCTCAAATTGGAAGACTACGGAGCACATTCTAGTGCAGATGCTTTCACACTGCCTCATTTAGGAGGGCGTACCTGGCATCAGTACATTTCCAATTCTAAAAGACACATGGGAAATCATCGCCCCAAACCTGGAACCCCAAAAGGTAAGAGGTTCGTCCAAGGTCACCCACTAGCTAGTGGTCAAGTTAGGACATGAAAGAAGGTCTCTGTTCCCCCCATCCGGTGCCCTTTGCACCAAACCGTACCGGTTTCGCACACTGCGCGCCCAGAGTGGCAGTGCTCTCAGAACTGGGAGGGAACGCAGACCGGAGCGAGGGCCGGGAAGAAAGGGAGAAGGCAGGACGGAGCAGGGAAGGTTCACTCTCCTCCCACACGAGGTAGGAAGAAGCCTGCAACACAGCCCGGGGTGCGGGGCTGCAGGCTCGCAGCGCTCACCTGTCCGGGACCCAGAGGCGGGTGGTGCGGTCCCGGGACACGGACACAAAGGCCCCCGGCGGATAGAGGCAGCACACCAGGCCCCGTACGTCCAGCTCGTGGCCAGGGAGCGCGCAGCTCAGCCGATACCTGGCGGCGCCGCTCTCCATGGCCCTTGTCGGTCCGGCGCCCGGGCCCGGGCCCCGAGCAAGATCCGTCGGCAGGGGAGGCCGGGTGTGCGACGGGCCGCGGCGGGAGAGGAGCGTGCAGGTGAGAGGCGGCCTGAGACCGGAAGCGCCGAGAGCCGGTGCGGAAGGGCGGCAGGGAAGGGGCGCGCCGAGCGGGCCGAGTGACACAGCAACCCTGACATGCACACCGGAATTCATCATCAGCCTCAGCCCGCCATGACGCAGAGCGTGTGCGCCCCGACTGCTGAGGCGACGTGGAGCTCGCTTCCCTCCCGCGCTCTGGACCGCGGGCCGAGGAAGAGATCCAACGCCCACCCCTTCTGCCCAGGCGCCCCAATCCCCGTCCTGGCCAAGCCCGAGTTTCTTCCCCGCTGTGGCTGAACTGTTTATTATAACACGGGATGCGGGGTGGGACTACAAATCCCACAATGCCACGCGCTAGTGGGCGTGAGCCGCAGGCGCGAGGAATCCGGATATTTTAAATCTTGCTCCTCGTGCCTGCGTGCTTCCTTGTGGTTTATTGAGATTGTTTCGAGTTATCTGTTAGGGCAGCTTTATTGTGATTTCCCTAACCCTATGCATAGTCTCCTCATAGTTTTACAAGTTAAACATTTTTTAGTCTAAACGAGAGAACTTGGGGCCAAATTGGGAACAATCGCTTGCCTTAAATTCTGTGAACACTAAACTGGGGGCTCGGTACTTAAAGTATTGTAATATTTTGTGTTAAGCATTTAAAAGATTTAAAATAGTTTCTCTCAACTCTCACATCTGTATACAAATGAGAAATGCTGGGTCCTCCTCCCATACTTTTAGAAGCACTGGGGGGGAGGGGGGGGGAGTCCCTGGCCAGTGTGGCTCAATTGGTTGAGCTGTCCCATGCACCAAAACGTCACGAGTTAGATTTCTGGTCAGGGCATGGCAGGCCTGCGCGCTGGATCCCTAGTAAGGGGCCTGCAGAAGGCAGCTTGTCTCTCAAATAAATAAATACAACAAACAAAACAAAACAACACCGAGGGGGGTGGCCCTGGCCCCATTAAGGGCACATAGAAAAATTCATAAATAAGTGGAACAATAAATCATATTTCTTTTTCCCTGTCTCAAAAACAATCAATAAAAAAATTAAAGAATAAACACACCAAGGGGAGAAATATGCATAATATCAGTAACCCCTCAGAGACAGTATCTTTTTTCTTTCTACTATTCTAGGTTTTCTGGGGCTCTATAACAGATTAGTAACTCACAAAGGTGGCTAGAGTTTGGGTTTATGAAGCATCTTAACAAAGGAATAATAAATTTTTTACAGAAGTGACCAAAAGAAAAGGATCTTAAATACTTACAGGCATCAAGTTATGGGAAGACAAATATATGAGAAACAAATGGTAGGAAAAGACCAGTTAGTAAAGTTTGTTATGTGGGTTCCTCTTGTGCAGTCTTCAGGCCGGTAAAGGGTCTAAAATGGTCTCCAATGGTCAACTTTTATCCTTCATGGTAGAGACACAGGAAGGAAAATCTTTGAATATTTATGTCCTCCCTTAAGGAAATAGAGTAATTTTAAAGAGTTTTACTTATATTTGCTTCTTTTCAATTGCCATCAGCTCAAAATAATTCTATACCAAAGTGGCATATTTTGGGGTGGCAAATTCTACTACCCTTCACTACAATGACCAAAATGAAAATGACCACTACAAATATGTTGGGGTCAAATTGGATAATTTCATGAAAATGTACAAACTTTAAGTGAGAACTCAATCACATAACGTTATTTTGTATTGTGTCGATTTTAAACTACTTACAGGCAGGCACACAAGAGAGTAAATCTAGATATAAATAATGTATGGAAGTTGGAAATAATGTGAAAAATATCCAGAGTCCAGTGTGTACTCATGTTATGATTGTAGCTGTGAGACAGGACCCTATCAGCTGCAATAACATTTAAACTCTGTCGATATGTAGGGAGATTGGAAGAAAGGAAACTGCAAGTTATTTTATTAGAGAGGTGGGACTTGAGGTGCAGTAGTTCTTATATTGTTTTTGAAGCTTCCAATGAGATGAGGAGCAGACAGCACCAGAATCTCCTCCATACTTAACGCTGTAGTGTGTAAGACATGTAGTCCCCACAGGAAGGATAACTACCACTAATTATGAGTAAAAATTCTGTACAATGCTGCCTACCACAGAATAACTTCAAACAATTCTTATTAAAAAAAACTCTTACCGTATTACACGGTAGCAGATGGGAGGTTACATAAATAGGTATTAAAAGTCTCTGGAGTGAGTATGGGTCAGGCACACAATGGAGGGGTTGTTCTGATTATAAAAACAACAACAAACAAGGTTTTCAAAGAAAATGTTCTTTTCCTAGTCAACTCGCACTTTTCCATGCCTCCCAAAAACCTCCCAAGTACCCAAATCTCGCGAGAACATTTTCCCCTCGCTTTGCTAGCGGGGGCGGGGGGGGGGGAGGCTGTTCCGCCCATCCCCGTTGCCAGGATACGCGAAGTGCGTGGACTCCAGTGGTTTTCGGCCTGAGGCAAAGCTGCGCGACAGTGAGCGGGTGGTCGCGAGGGAGCTACAGCATTTGTGGGGCGGACTGCGAGCTCCGCAGTGGTGGCGACGCGGCGCCTTGCGACCTCCTTTTTCCACGCTGCTGAGGTGAGAAATCCAGCTCCCATCTCCCCGCCCCTCCCTCCGGAGCTTATTATTTTTCCTTGGTGATGCCCTTGCTCTCCAAAGACACCGAACCCGAACTCTTTGGTTCCTAGCTGTTCTCAGGCCTGTTGCCAGGCCCGGGAGGTCCCCCGTCTAGTCCCGCAAAACCTGCTGCGAGACCTCTAACAGTCCCCGAGGAGCCCTGCCAAGGCCAGACCAAAGGGAAGGCTGCAAGAACAAATTCCTAGGGGCTGAGAGATTTTACTCAGAATTACAGTAGATGTCTGCCTTTCGTTCGTATATGACACAGTGGCTGGTTTAGGGAGGCTAATGGTAATCGTTAGGAGCCAGGTGTGTTATGGAGCCCACCTGTAATCTGAACAGCTCTGCAAGACAGAGCTGCCGCGCGCTTGTGTGTGACAGCGAGGAAATACCGCGGCGGGATGCAAGGCTGTGACCGCCAGAGCTGAAATCTGCCCCTAATCTTCCAGGCCTGAGGCCAGGCTGCTGCTTTGACGGTGTGGATAACCCCGGAGTTAGTGGCATGCTTGTTCCGCAACCGCACCCTCTCAGTTACCCACCAGGACTGCTGCAGTACAATGCTTTTACCCTGATAGTCAAGCAGTGGCGGAGAAAGCGAGGTGGACATTTGACGTGTTGGACGCTTTAAAAAGTTATTGGAAAATCTAGAGTAACATAGACGAATTCTGCTGGAAACCAAGCTGTACTGTGTTAGCTCTTTTGGGGACAAACCATTTTGATCGTAGACCTGCCTTTCAAATAGTTATTTCATGAAACTCCCTTTTCCGTTTGAAATCATCATAATAATAGTTATAGTAAGTAACTAGGTTACTTTGTCCACAGTTCAAAATGGCAAGGAAATGGAATCATGGAGCTAGTTGGAATGGGAAGATTTTGTTTGGTGTGACCGCTTTCAATATGAAATGATAATGGGATATGTGAATAAAAATTTCCAATAACTGGTTGAAAATTTAAAACTGGTGCCCAGTTTAAGGGACACACCTGGAGACATTAATGTATGAGTCATCCACATAGTTGGAGTTACAAGAAAAAGAATGGGAGATTATAGAAGAAAAGCAATCCAAGAAGTGGGCATGGAGTATAGAAACTAAGAAACCATTTTAGTTCAAGAAGTGATTCTTTTCTTTTTTTAATATTATAGTAAATTTTTGCAATTGGCCAACGCCTTCATGTGGGAGGAAATTCAGAAGGTATAAAAGAGAACAAAGTTTTTGCCTGGCACTGAGATAGGTACTGGGGATGTAAAGATGAATGAGATCCAGGCTTGTCCTCAAGGGAGAGAAATACTTAAGCAGATCATTCCATTGGTATGATAGAAGTTGGGATAGAGATATGCCCAGGATGCATAGTAGCATATAGGACAGGCCTATAAATTCAAATTGAAGGAGTAGTTACCAACTGGTTGTGGAAGGATTTCTAGGGAAGATAACAGGCAAGAGGTGTGTTAGACAAGCGGACCAGTAAGGATGCCAGTATAATAATCCACCTGAGTCCATCAGGCCCTGAACAATACTATAGGAATAGAGAAGAAGGTACATGTTAAGCATGTATGAATAAAGTCAGTAGGACTGTGTGATTCGCTATGGGAAATGAGAGAGAGGAAGAAATCAAGGACTAAGTTTCTGACTTGTGTGACTAGGAGGTATTACCAAGAGGAAGAGCTGAAAACAGAAAGGACTGAAAAAGGGGAGCCAGAAGAGGGGAGTGTCATGGAGATGGTTCCATGTAGGAGTGGACACCAGTAACATGACATTTTCATCCCTAGCTACATTGGCAGGGGCCATTTAATGGAATAGTAGAAATTGAGATAGTGGAAATCAAAAAGGTAGAGAATAGTAGCTATAAGCTATTCTTTAGAGTTTGGCAACATAGAAATAGGATATATGAGACAGAGTTAAAAGTGACTTCAGGATCAAGAAATTAATTTTTAAGGTTAGGAAAGAACTGAACATAACAGACTAAAGGAATTAAAAAAGTTTAAAGATACAGGCAGGAGTTGGATAATTCTAAAGGAAATTGGGGTAGGTGGGGAGGAGGCAAGGAGAGGGAATCTAATGTCCCAACACAGAGGGGGATCAAGAGGGTAAATCAGAATAAAGATTGACCTTAAGAGAATGGATGGCTATTGAGATTGGAGGGCAGGGTTGATATAGGTAGGTGTGTGCGCTCCAAACATGGATTTCAAGTGCTCGTTTTGTTAGATTAGTAGGAAGTTGTCTTCTGCTGAGAGTACAGGAAAGAGTGAAGATAGAAAGTGGTTAAGGATTGGAATCATTTAGGAAAGAAGTCACTTATAAGGATAAGTAAAATTTTCTGAGATGAGAGTCCAGCTAAGTTTTGGTGACTACAACTTTGCAGTACTCTAGTCCATACAGTTATGATTTCTATCAGCAATGTTCAGTAGTCCAGGTTAGATGTGGAGGAGAGTTTCTGATTTTGCCAGATGGGTTGAAGGAAGTTCAAGGGTATGAATTAGTTGATGGTGCTCATGAGATAGTAGTTTAGTGTAGAGAAGGGAAGGAGTCCTTGAAACTGCCCCTGACAAGGTTATTGATGGCTTCTTGGATGGGAACTATATATTTTTTTCTGTAAACTTTCTTAAACATTGTTTTATTTCATGTTTAAAGCATATTTTTCTAACAACCCCACCAATAGGTCATAACTCATTATTTGAAAAATGCTATTCTAAAT